TTGGTAGCCCAGGCTGGCCTCGAACTCACAGAGATCCGCCTGGCTCTGCCTCCCGAGTGCTGGGATTAAAGGCGTGCGCCACCACCGCCCGGCTTCAGACAGTAGTCTTGACTGTGTACCTACTGTGGTGTGCCGGGACTGTACCATTTCTGATCTGATTTGTGGGGGGAGGGAGGTTGGAGGGGAGGGGGCTGACCTAGGCATTAAGGAGGCAAGAGACAAGGTCCGAGTGGATAACAACAGGTGGGTGGTGAGGGGAAATGTATCCCATGCCTGAAGGAACCAGGAACCAGGACCTAAGCTTTGTCCTTAGCAAGAAGAATCCCCATTAACATGCAAACCCCACATCCTTCTGTTTCCCCAAACTGGATCCTTTCCCAAGCTTCCCCTCACATTCCCAAGCATCTTCCATTCTTTCTTTCTTTTCTTTTTTCGACGGGGGTGTGGGGGTAGGGATGGCAGCAGTCTTACTGTGTAGCCCTGGCTGGCCTAGAACTTGCTATGTAGCCCAGGCTGGCCTTGAACTCTACCAGTCTCTGAGTAGAGTACTGGGAATAAAGACATGCACCACCACGCCACCATGCCCAGGGCATCTTCCACTCTTATGATCGCTTGGCCTTGGTCTTCTCAGGCTCCCACTCCGCTGGTCCTCACCCTGCCTGCCTCTCTAGCCTTCTTTTACCGATGGGCTGCTCCTTCTGATCTTTAAGGTACCACACAGGAGGAAGTGAAGGTGATTTCCAAGTATTCCCAGGGGATGGCTTGGGGTGGAGGGAGGGATTCTTAGACCCTGCCTGGCATCCACAGAAGGCCCTGGTCCTGGATCAGGATTGCACAGTGCTGGCAGACCAGGAGGTGCGACTGGAAAACAGGATCACCTTCCAGTGAGTGCCCTACCCTAAAGCTTGATCTGGCTTCTAGCTGTCTACTGGTCCCAAATCTCAGATCTCATTCATTGAAGTGGGAGCTCTACCCACTAGGCTAAAGTCCCACCCCAAACTGCCCCACCCTCCGCATTCAGCTCTGTCCCCTCCTGGCTTGTTTTGGGGAAAGGGGCCCTGGGTCTCCACCACTCTGCAGCTCTAGGGTCCTACACAGGCTGGAGTTAGCTAACCTGGAGCGCGTGGTGAGGATCTCGGCTAAGCCTACCAAGCGTCTGCAGGAGGCGCTGCAGCCCATCCTGGCAAAGCATGGCCTGAACCTGGACCAGGTGGTCCTGCATCGGGTGAGCAACGGAGCTGTGGGGGCGGGGAGGGGGGAAGGGGAGGCACGCCAGCAGGAGAGGACTTGTGGTCTAGCCTCTGGGCTGCGAACCTCTTTCTGTAGCCAGGGGAGAAGCAGCAGCTGGATCTGGAGAAGCTAGTGAGCTCAGTGGCCTCACAGACACTGGTTTTGGACATTCTCCCAGGTAAGTGATGTTTTTACCCTGGGACTTGATTTCCCAGTGTGGCTCTGCACAGGAGGAGGGGCTTGTGGGAGGAAGGCCACACCCAACAGTGTGCTCTCCGTTGTAGGGGCCAAGATGGGTGAAGCCAGCAGCACATCCCCCTGCCACAGCCAGGTAACAGAGAACCTCGGGGGCTCTCTCCCTGTGCGCTTCTCCCCTCCTGGTTCTGACCTCCACCCCACTTTCTTGCAGGGAGGCCTGCCTAGAACCCAGGACAAGGACACGCATCTCCCCCCATTGCCCCCCAGTTTGCTGGTGGAAGACGCCAGTAGCTCTACTGGGAAACGGCAGACCTGTGACATTGAAGGTGCACTCTGGGGACAGTGGGGGCTGCGGGACCAGAAGGATGAGGGAAGTGGGATTGGGCTTGAGGATCACTGAGGGTGGCATCGGAGGCCTGAGCTAAGGCTGGGCGAAGGGCCATCTGAGCTGGGATACACTGATGGTCTGGGGTCAGGCTGTGGTCATGGCCGGCAGCAGATGGTGAAGCATTAGCATAGGTGCTCTGACCAAATGGGGCTCCTGACTCTGTGGCTGCCCCCAGGCCTGGTGGAGCTGCTGAACCGGGTGCAGAGCAGTGGGGCCCATGACCAGAGGGGACTTCTTCGCAAAGAGGACCTGGTACTTCCAGAATTTCTGCAGCTTCCCTCCCAAAGGCCGGGCTCTCAGGAGGCGCCACCATAGACTGGATCGGCCACCCAGCCTAGGGAGGGCCCTTCAGACTCCGCTGCCCTCCCAGCCTTCTGACACCCATGTAACAGTCCAGGCTGGCTGCATGGTGCCTGGGCAGACCAAGCATGCCGTGGGTCCGCTCTGCATGCCCTGTCTGCGCCCTGAGTGTCCCTGGCCTCTTTTTGCTATGGGCAGGCCCACAGAAGGAGCCAGGAAGGGGTGGAGGGGGAACTCAGGGGAGCCCCACTCCCAAACTGGGGCTCCCTGTTCTTATAGGTTCACCTACCCATTCTTTGCAGCTAGGCCATCAGGGAGAGGCCCGCCTAGGCTCTTGTCATGAGCATACTGAACACAAAGGGGTAACTTTGGCAGTGCCAGCCTCCTCAGCTTATTCTAAGCTTTAGCAGGGGGCAGGAGGAGGGGCTGGCCCCTCCCTAAAGAGTTGATAGAGTAAATCCTGGGCGTGCTGGTGGGCAACCCCTCCCTCCATCCACATAGACTCTACTGTACATATGGATTTTATGGTTGGCTTGGGGCAGCTGGGTTTGTCCTGAATGTATATTGTTATATTATAATAATAATTATTATTATTCAGCCATGAGGTATGTTTCTTGTGTGCCACTCTGCCCTGTGTGGTCCCATCACCCCATTGCCTCTGTCACCAAGACCAGGAAGTTCTTGAGGACCTCAGTGTATACCTCCCAGAATCTCTTCCTGAGGCATGGAATATGGGAGCCATAGAGCAGGAGAGGGAGGGGGAAGGGGAAGAAGGAGAGAAGAGGAGGGAGGGAGAGAGAGAGGGAGAGAGAGAGAGAGAGAGAGAGAGAGAGAGAGAGAGAGAGAGAGAGCTGTGCCTTTGCCGGCACTCAGCATCCGTAGACATGAATGCATCATTTTTGTTCATCCCTGTTCCTGTCAGGGATCCAATGCATCTCTACACACATTACTGAGAGCTCCTTAGGATGCATCAGAAGCTTATATGTGGGACTGGGCTAGGCAAGGTATTCTTTTCCTCGTCTGCTTTCGCTGGGTGGTACGCCACCTCTAAGCAGCTGGGAAAGGCAGGGGAGGAAGGAGGGGAGGACTTCGCAGAAAGAAAGGCTTGCAGGGAGAAGCCCAGCGTGGTCCCACTAGGGAGGCCAGTGCCAAGAGGAGGCCAGGTGACTTGAGTGGCTAGGGCAGAGCCCTGCACACAGGTGAGGCTGCACTGAGTGATCCCTTCACCAGGACCTCGTCCTGCTCTCCCTTCTCATCTCACCGGCTCCTTGTCACCCTTGAAATCTGTGGGACAGATCAACGGAGTATACTGACCCGCCCTGCCTTCCTCTGGGGGTTTCAGGTTTCTGTCACCTGGTAACTGCCTCACTTTATTTGACTGTTTAATGGGTTCCCAGGCTTCTGGGGTGAGCTGATGACACAGGAACCTAGTCCACATGGACAGAGTTTGGCTCAGAGCTGGTTGTCTGAAGCTGCTCTAATAAGAGTTGTAATCCTCAGACTGGAGAGGTGGCTCAGTGGTTCAGAGCACAGGCTGCTCTTACAGAGCACCTGGCATCGATCCTCAGCATCTACATGTCAGCTCACAGTTATCTGTAACTCCAGTTCCCGGGGATGCAGCATCCTCTTCTGGCCTTCATGAACACTGTACGCACAGTGTCCGGACATGCAGACAAAAACATCTATATGCGTACAAATAAAAATAAATAAATCTTTTTATTTTAATCCCAATTATGTTGGTTTATTTTCTACCGCCTTCTGAGCATTTGTACAAAGGCCTTGCGCACAGAAGAAGCCCACACAGGAGAGGCCTCAGGTGGCCGACAACCCACCACACTTCACACACACCTGAAATAGCCACCCCTTGACTTTCACCCTAGGAAATCAGTAAATTCTTCCTGGGAGTGTGACCTTGCTACCGTGAGGAGGGTTTCTAAGACCCGTAACTACGAGAACCCTGCGTCACTGACCACCTTGGCAGTCTGGAATAGGGAACCACGAAGGGAGGACAGATGTTGGGGGACAGTGTGGTACTAGGTGTGTGTGATGATGGAGTGGGAGGGAGTCGGGGAGACAAATCCCTTTTGCTAGAATAGCTTTCCTGGGAGAAATGTAAACAACGTCTCCCCTCCTCCTACGGTCCCAACAAGAACTAAGAACATTTTCCCCAAAGTTCCCCAAGGAGCACAGGTAATTTAATCGGACACACTGGAAGGTCTGCAACCGGAAGGAATGACCGCTTCCCCGTGGTTGCGTAGATGGAACCCCACTGTTTCATTCTTCAAGAGTCTGTAGTCTCTAGCTTCTCCCCCAAGACCCACAGCGTTAGGGAAGGCTTGCACACAAGTGACTGGGAAGGGTGACTGTGTGGTGATAGACTGTGTACCCTAATAAAGTCAGCCTGAAGATCAGAGGACAGAACGAGCCACTAGATTAAACACAGAGGCCAGACAGTGCTGGCACACACCCTTAACCCCAGCACTTGAGATCTCATGCCTTTGCTTGGGAAGCACACACACACCTTTAATCCCAGGAAGTAACATGGCTGTGTAGAGAAAGGTACATAAGGCGTGAGGAGACAGGAACTAAGGCTTTTCCACAGAAGCGTTCTTTTCAACTGGAGCTCTTTCAGGCTGAGGAGTCGGTGAGGTCAGAGGTGGTGGCTGTGGCTGCTCTGCTTCTTTGACCTTTCAGCTTTCACCCCATATTAGGCTCCGGATTTTTTACTAAAAGACCGTTTATAATTTGTGTTACAGGACTGGAAACTCAGGCGAGGGAGGGCCCCATGACCCTCCCTGCTCCCTCCTTCTGTGAGGAGGGTAAACAGTTAACAGGCCTGGCTGCCATTGTCTTCACCAGCAGATTTAGCAGAGCTCCTGAAGATGGGGTCTGTTTGGCTCACAGGACAGCTCTGTACCACCATCCCCAGCTCTTCCCTCGTCACCCACAGAATTCCTCTGTGGTGTCCCTTTCTCCTAGTTCCTCTCTAATTTTCTTCGACATGGAAAGAGGCTCTTCCATGAGCTCTTGAGAGAGAAAGGAGGGGACACCAAGTGAGAAATGGGCTCTCTCCCCAAAACTGGGGGACCCTACAGGCCAAGCTTACCGCTCAACCCTGAACATCTGCAGAGCCAGCAATGATACATGTTACCCTTATGACCCGTGAAAGCTGAAAGAGCATCTTAAAGTCCATCTCCTGCTAGGGAGAAACACGTTTGCGGAGGTCCTAGCTTGGACACATTCTAACCTTTTTGTAATTTTTGGTTTTGCAACAGTCTGATGGGGACAAAGGCTAAGCTGCATGGGGAAAGTGACAAGGGACTGTCCCTGGGGCTTCGCTAACTCTCAGACTGCGGGACGGGACGCAGGAGCATGGTCCCAGGAGGCCTGTGTGATGTAGCCGGCTGATGAGGGCATATTGATATTGCTGTTCAGTTCTGGAGGTAGGTCAGGAGTTTCTGTTAAAAATCAGAGGTAGGGGTGGAAAGATGGCTCAGCAGTTAAGAACCCTCACTGTGCAATCCTGAAAATCAGAGATGAGATCTCAGCAGCCGTCCCAGCCTGGGCAGCCTGCACATGCCTGTAACCCCAGCTCCAAACAAGGTAGAGGCAGGAGGAACACTGGGACTCACTGGCTTCCAAGATAGCTGAGAGAATGTGAGTCCCGGATTCAGAGAGAGAGACCCTGCCTCAAAGGAATAGGCAGAGAGTGATAGAGGACACCCTGCTATGGCCTCCATATGTGTGCACAGATGCACAGACACACACACACACACAGACACACACACACACACACACACACATTCCTTTTTATTTTAAACATTTTAAAGTTTTAATAAGTTCATGTGGAGGTCAGAGGATAACTTGCAGGAGTTGGTTCTCTCCTTCTACCAGGTCATTGGACTTGGAGGCAAGAGCCTTTATCTGCTCAGTCATCTTGCCAGTCCAATAAATACATCTTTAAAAAATAAAACAAGCCAGGTGGCAGTGGCACATGCCTTTAATCCTAGCACTCGGGAGGCAGAGGCAGGTGGATCTCTGTGAGTTTGAGGCTAGCCTGGACTACAGAGTGAGTTCCAGGATAGCCAGGGCTACACAGAGAAACCCTGTCTCAAAAAACAGACAAAGAAATAATAACAGCAACAAAAGAATGAAGGTTTACTGGCAAAGGGTGAAAGCCCAGTGGTCAAACATATGCTTAGCATACATGAGGCCCTTCAATCTCCTGCACCAGAAATAAAATAAAACAGAGGTTCATTTAACTCATAGTTCAGGAATCTGGGAAGTCCAAGAGCATGATCCTGGTCCCTGGTGAGGCCCTTCTTGCCAAACTGAAACATGGTAAAGAGCATCACATGGCGAGACAGCAAACTAGCTAGAGAGCTGCTTAATAACAAAGCCACTCTCAAAACAATAAATACATCAATCTACACATTGATCAATCCATTCATGACAGCAGATCCAACCACTCCTCCCTCAATCCTGCCTCTCAGATGTGGCGCATACCTGTAATTCCAGCACTGGGAGACAGGCTAAGACAGGAGGGACTGAGTTCAGGTGGCCTGGGTTACAGAGTAAGCCCCTGCCTCAATAAAATAACAGAGGAAGGGGGGAGGAGAGAAAAGGAAGAAAAGAAGAGAAGAGGAAGAAAAGAAGAAGCTGGATGTGGTGGCGCACGCCTTTAATCTCAGCACTTGGGAGGCAGAGGCAGACGAATCTCTATGAGTTTGAGGCCAGCCTGGGCTACAGAGTGATTTCCAGGACAGCCAGGGCAACACAGAGAAACCCTGTGTCAAAAAACAAACAACAAAACAAAGAAAGAAAGAAAAAGAATAAAAACTTTAAAATCCACCATTCAACACTGCTTCACTAAGGACCAAATTCCCAACATAAACATTTAGTAGACACATTCAAGACATACTGTATCTTTATGTAAAACATAAACACACAGACACTTACAAATGTACAGAAAGGAGAGAATTTTCTATAAGTATAAAATTGATCAAGGAGATTGAGAAAGGTACCAGGATTTTACCAGGATTAGGAACAGTGGTCAAAGAGGATTTTCAGTTTGGCTTTAATTTTCTCACAAATGCAGTTTTAAATAATTTCATTACTATAAAGAATTCCCAAGAGTCCCTCTTTATTTCCATTAGAGAGTCATCCTTGGTAGAGTCTAATACTTCTTTAGGGACTTGAGACCATCATCCTTCTTGGCCAATTTGGCTGGTTGATAAACCCTACCATAATCTCCTCTGCTCTCTCCTTGTCAAATAACCTTGGTGAGTTTTCTTGGGGAGAAATGAGCAAGCACATATTCATCTCAGATAGGGTGCCAATAACAGACCAATAAAATGATTCCACCCAAGTCTAACTTCATGCCTGGTGAGTTTAACTCTTTCTTACAGGAGCATGAGTAACTCAAGCTAAAACAGACCTTCGCACCAAACATTTTTTTTTCTTTTTTCAGAGCTGAGGACCGAACCTTGCTCTATCACTGAGCTAAATCCCCAACACACACACACACACACACACACACACACACACACACACACACACACACACACACACACCAACCATTTAATACCCTGGTGAGAGGAAGGGCCCCATGGGTTACCTGGGGAACTCCCTGTGGGCTGCCACATAAGCTGCCTTGTGTGAGTAACCACAGTTGTTCTGATATCAAGACAGCAGTGGTATGCCATGCCCGGAGGGGAGTTCCGCAGTAGCTGGTATGAGGTGTCCCTTTCTCCTAGTTCCACTCTGAATCCCTCAGGGTCTCGGGCCTTCACCAGCCTCCCCAGGCCTCATCTTCAGGAAGAGGAACCCAGACCCAGAGCTTCCTCTCCTGCCAGCTCATTGACGCATGGGCTATATTTGACAGCCACTGACCCAGACTGATTCAAGGGTGCTCAGGCGAGGTTGTAAGAGCTGTTCACCTCCCCAGAAGGGACACCATGAAGGGTGTTGGCCTCATCCACCCAGTATACAGTATGAAGGGAGAGAACACACACTTTTTATTTCTTACTAGTTTTGCATCCCGACAATACCTTCCCTACAGAGGACTTGGACTAAGCTAACAGCCATGACTTTTTTGAGGATGCTCAGGGAACCAAGCCTGTACTCCAAGCCTCTGCCAGACAACCTTGATGTTTCTCTCTTGCCCTTCTCCATCTGCAACAGTCTTAGGACTCGGGGAAGGAATGCTGTCACTCAGTGACCTTCGGTCTGGGCCTGTGCAGAGGCAGGTGGAGGGGCTGGCTGCTCACCTGGAGCCCCTGCTGAAGATCTGCAGACACAGCAGTGAACTATGCTCCTGGGTCAGCCACCCTTACCCTCAGGAATGGGCACAAGGTGCACCCTGTGGGGGGTCTGGGCTAGCAGTCAGGTGACTGGCTTCTGAGGGTTGTAGAAGCTGGAGTTCGTTTGCACAGGGAGAAAAAGGGCCCAGTGAGGGGCAAATGCGGTTGGTGCCATGGAATCAGATGCAGAATGTGATAAGCACAGTGCACAACCCTGGGGAAGAGGTCAGGAAGAGTTAGGACCATGAACGTACAAATAAGGCCCATGAAAACTGTAGGGTAGGCAAGGGCTGCTCGGTGGCCATTTTAGCATGTTTGGCTAGTGGGCATAGAAGAGCCAAAGCGCGAAAGGAAGAACGGCTTAGAACCAGTGCCCACCTGCAGGCTTAGAACCACTGCCAACCTGCAGGCTTAGAACCAGTGCCCAAC